GAGGCCTGTGGCTCGCCATCTGCCCACTGGTCTGGGGATTGCCAGAGTCATTGGGTTTGCCAGGTAGAAAAGATGGAAATAAGCTATTGGTCCTGCTGATCTCTTGTTATGTTGGTGAGCTACCAACTGTCATGCTCACTTCATGTGCTCGTGGTGAAATACCCCTAAAATGTGATCTATCTCTGCAGGTCTTATCTTTAAGTAGAAAAAAAATGCATGCTGATTTGAAGTTTAAGCCAAACAGCAATGAGTGTGAAATGGAAAATGCACAGTGTGGCATTAGTACAAACTTGTTGGCAAGGAGTGTCACCCAAGCAAATACCAAAACACTTCTGACATCCTTAAGTCATAGCTTATTTGAAATTCCTCAGATAATCAAAGACAACAAACTTAATTATCACAGCAGCAGAAGTAAATACAAAAACAGATGCGTAGTATAGATAAAAGTACCCTAAAACAAAATACTACAGACATTATGGGCAAGATAAAGAGGTACTTTATGCAAATTACATACACTTAAAATATCTACTGCAAGAGGCAAGCAGCTATGCTTTTATTTTCTTTGATGACCTAAAAGTCCAGTCTGAATCTTGTATTTATGCCAGTACACTCTGCTGTACCTTGGACAGACTGTGTGACTGGATATTGGCATGTCTCCGTGTTTATGTTTGCATCTCTATGAGTGTGTGTGCGGTGCGCTGTGCTCATCGCCGCTCAATGCTCCATGTGTGGGAGGGAGAGCAGTCATGTTTTAAGACCATCTGCTCCTCTGAGTATTTTAGTGGGGGCCTTAGCTTGTGGTGTACTAACACACGTCACAGGCAAACAGAAAAGCGCAAGCTGTGAGCGGGCCTGTTCCGGAAAGATTCCTCCAGTTTCTCCGTTGCACAATGGGCAGTGTGTGTTATGCATACAAGGTTCTGATTCTCTTTTTTCCCCTGTGCAAGAGCCACTGCAATGCTCTTGTACACGGGCCTTAGACAATAATCACAATGAAAATGTTCTTCTTGGCACAGTTGATTGTTTGTGTGAGTGTAAAGGTTTGTGTAAGTAATTTCAATAATGTAAAATGACTCATAAAAGGTGTTGTGGCCTGATTTAGCAGAGATGATTGTTCAGATAGCATCTGTATCCCTGAAGCGTGATGTGGAATAAGTAATTATGTTGACATCTTAGATTTTAGAAGAGGATGTGCTGCACATGGCAGCAACAAGACCAGACTAAGAGTAACTGAATAATACTGATTTAGATTACATATATTCAGGCCTAGACTTTGTCTTTTGGCTTATACAACATGCTAATTATTACTGGGTTTTTTTTGTTTGTCTTTTTAGCTTATTCCTTCGTGATAAAAGAACATAAGAAGTAACAAGTATGACATGATTCTCTTTGTGCTCTCTCTGTCTGCTCGCACATTCAGTGTACACATACCCTATATACAATGACCACAGTCCCAGCAGGACAATGGAGCAGGCTGAGCTTATGAACAACACAGAGGGGATGCAGAGGAAGGTCACATAGCTGCACACCCCACACTGAGGAGTGTGTTGGCATGCTTTACGCTGCATGCATGTGTAGGGGGGTTATGGCATGCCACGTATTCGTTTGTATACGGCTCCAGAGCGTCAATGCAGCATTCTCCTCTTCAGCTCTTCTCCAGACTGTTTACTGAGGGATTCCCTTGAGGTTATCCATGGCTCAGTAGATGCCATCACTTGGCTGGTGGCCTAACGGCTTTTGGACACAGTGACTCACCCTACGTGTAACAATGAGAGCGGAAAACAATTTGCCTTTGTAACTTTTATATGTAAACTAGTTGGACCTCTGAGTGGATCCATGCTTGTGCACTCCGCCTACAAACATTCCTCAGCAGGAATAATATTACATCTGCATTCAGTTGAAAAGATCAATGATTATGCCCTGAAGCCTTCTTTTATTTCTGTAGTTCAAATTAATCCAGCCATGGCTTCTGATTAAGACACTTTGTCGAGTTTAATTGTGTGTTTTAAATAAATGAACATTTCTAAGATCAAAATCTATATCAAACTAATGTAAATCTGTAATTTTACATTACCATGTTCATCTCACAAGTTCCTGTGTTCCTCCTACTCTCCGTATGTTCAAACACACATTACTCAAAGTGATAGTGAGTCATCATTCCTTCACCATGCAGCGTTTGCCCTTGTGTCCAGGGCAATATTAGAATGAAAAAGTTCTGCAAATGTCAACATGTTTTGCTTTGACCTCAGAAGAAAGTATGATCAAGGCCCAAAGTTCAAGGCACTGAGACACATGGAAATGGTGCAACAGAACAAAGGAATGCTAGTGGGCCAAAGAACAGCTCCAGAAATGCCTGGATGCATATTCAGAGCTGCCCACGACACATGTTAACCAGTGCTCACACAGACTACCTCTCTTCCCCTTCCCCTTGTCTTTCTCACATCTCTCTTTATCTCCCTTTTTGTTCATTTCCCATAGAATCTGACATCTAGGATTCAGAACAAGACGACCAAGGGAGAAGATAAACAAATTGAGGAAGAAGAAGAAGAAAAAGAAGTCAGGACTAAAAGGGAGCAGGAGCCTGGTGCTGAGGCTGGTATGAGGCAAGTGTTTTCTGTGCGGGTCGCGTGTTTGTGCAAGTGTGCACACGTATGCTGTGTGCTCTGTGCCAGCCGTTTGTCTGCCCCATCAATGAAGTCGTTGTTGTTGAGGTTGGTGGTGTCAGTGGCCCTGCCTGGCTGCTTTGCTCTATTCTCTCCTGCCGTTGCTGATGCGCGGCCTCTCTGCCTGGACACACTCGCCCAGCTCTTGGTCTTTTGTTGCAGTGCAGATGGTGGAGCTTGACGCAACATTAGAGAAAAATTAGGGTTGTCACAGCCAACAGTGTGGCATTATGGGCCAAGACGTCTTGAAATGTGACCCCTTTAAGAGATGTTTATTTCAAAGCGGCTCTAATCAGTATTTCTGAAATTACAGTGTGAAAGCAAAGAAACTCGTAAAGATGAACCTAGAGAGAATTGTCATTTGATCTGCAGCTCCCCTGGGCTTTACAGATCTTTATATCGAGTTTTAGCTCATTGTTTAGCTGTCTGACCAGAATCTTAACTGTTTCATTTTACTCTCAGCGCTAGTAGTAGAAGGTAGCTATTAGCCAACTGTAAGCTTTAAGTGCTAAAATATCTGTAAAACTATGTCTGTGACAAATCCATGGCCTCTCGCAATGTCGAGCCAACAGAATTTTTCACTTCACTCCATCGACAAGGCTAATATTGGTCATGGATTCCCTTGGGGATGTTGTGATGTGTTAATCATGAAGCTCTAAAACACAATCCACTCTTAGGCCTGCCATCTGCACACACAGGCTGCTGCAGCATGAGGCTAAATCCTCCGCTTCTACTTCTGGATGAATTCATTCTACATCCGTTGCACTACGACAGTAATCATGATAATAGCATACATTTTATTTATATAGCATTTAAGCAGTTACACATTTCTTTAAAAATGCGAAAATAAAAACCCATTTGTATGTTGAAAATATAAACTAAACACTCAAAAATGATTGATAAACAATTGCATTAGTATATGTAGATGAATTGCAATAGTTCCTGGTATTGCATTACTGCTACCTGCCTCAGACGGCAGAGTGAAATCTGTAGAACATCTAACGTGTAAATGAACAACCTTGACTGTTACAATGTGAGCAGGCAAAGCCGAGTCAGTGGATAAAAGTAATAATGACACGTATGTGTGTTATCTATTGAGCATTGAAACAAGTTCTCAGAATAGTGTTTAATTTGACCGGGGAGGTAAAGATTGTTCCAGATTCTTATTATTATCATTATTGGCCTGAATGTATTGAAAAAATTCTACATATATTGGCACTTATCAAACATGGTGTAAAGATTGTTTTTCATTTCAGTGTGACTCAATTCGCAGTGCTATGCATGCATGTTGTCTCTATGTTTGTTGTTTTACACCTTATGTAACAAAAGAAAGTCTGTGATGACCATGTAAACCTTTTTTGATGAAGCAGCATCATACAGCCAGAATACTGTGTCTGCTGACTTGAATTTGACAACAGTCCGATACTCGGCTGCTGTATGTGATTGTTTTCATCACACAAATAGGACGAATGTACTTTCTAGTAAAATTAAATTAATTGTGATACCTGTTGAAGATAAGGAAAATTCTTATTTATTTATTATTATTAAAGGACAGAGGTATCATAGTGCCTCAACATGAAATGACTCATTTTAACATAATTCATCAACAAGTATTGTTGAATCCTGGCCATTAATCATATTTATGGTTAGTGTTTTATGGCAGCTGAAGGCAGCAAGATATACTAGCTTGAATGACAATAGACAAGTTTACAATAAAAATCGATGCTCATGTATTTCGATCCAAAACAGAGACCTGATGTTCCTGACTATAAGCAGAGAGAGAGAAAAGAAGGGCACAAATGGACACAATTTTTAGTTTTCTCAATTAAAAAAGATATCAAGCAAGAATGAATGTGATATGAATGTACATGTATCTCATATCGTATTTCATGTTACCCTGACACAAACCTAGGATAGTATAAACTAGCTCATACATCAAAGTATTACTATATATCTTTTGGTAAGAGATTGAAAACAAAACCTCATGGTGGAAAGCATGAGGTTAACAAATGCCACTGCATTGTCATTGATACAGTGAGTTATCCCTCCTTCCTTACCTTCTAGTACAGCACAGATAGTGTCAGTAATCTGCTGATGACATGATGTGTGGTGACTGGAGTTTGGCGTCATGTCAGAGCTCAGCCAACACTGAGTGTCATTCATTTGATGGGCTTACGTATGGTCACCATAATGAGTGACTCTGAGGGGCTGCAAGCAGGTGCTGACTGACACTGAGTTTGTGTGACTTACTATATATGGCTCTGTTCGAGTAAGGGGAGTAAGTCAGTGATGTCATTGCCTGATGATACTGATGTCACTAGTATTTTTTTTCTTCACAGAGAAGAAGGCTGTCAGCTGTCTGGGTGTGAGTGAACACCCTCTAGTGGAGGTGCTGACAAGCTGTACTGCAGAGCGTCTGTCTGTTTCTCACCATCATCATTTCAAGGTAATGCCTTAGTCATCAACAAGTCACTGCACATATTTTTATAAAGAAGATACTAACCAGTTATTTTTTTTTTTTCTACAGAATGCACATATCTCACATAGCTCCCCCTAAATATGGATTGAACCATTAATCACTTGGCTTTGACAAAAAACATGTTCCATTTTCTCAGTTTTTCAGTTTTCAATGAGAATTAAGTCATTTTAATCTTCCTCACCTCTCCACCCACTTAGAAAATGGGCATATATTAATTAACACAAACATACACCAAATTTATTTTGAACTCAAGTTCAAAATACAAATAAGGTAAATATACTTAAAGATACTGCAATACATTCAACACCTTTCATATATTTTGAAATGGGTTCAAATTGCCAACTTATGCTGTGAATAGTAACTATCATATGTAATTCCTGTCTCCTACCCTGATGAGAGGGATTTTAATTTGTTCATCTATAACAAACGAACATATTTGATGTCATTTTGTTAATTTGGATTTGGAACATAAAATATTTCTGTCACTTGATCCAGTTATTACGTATATTCTGTGATCCACAATGTGCTGTTCTGTTTTGTAATTGAATATTGGGTGAAAAACACCTTATATATATCATATAATATCTAATTTCATTGTCTTTTTCTTTTAATGTAACAACAACCATCATACCCTACCTGTTGTTAGGGTTATTGCTAGGAGAAAACAAGTGCATCATGGTGTTTTTGTGGATAAATATGTCTTTGACTCATGAATCCAGTGTTATATCAGCTTTGTTTAATCTGGACCTTGAAATTAGCTATTGTGCTTAGTTGAATACAGGTATGTCTGTGATGAGTTATGAAAACATGAAATTGAAATTGCTTCTTTGCTATTGCAAAGAATATTTCATTTTGCAGAGGAACCTCTACTACTTTGGTGATCAGGGATTCAGTAAAAAGACTAGATTTTCCTCTTTGTGTTGAGCAACCTTTGAGATGTCTGAACAAGTTTAAACTAATAAATATATAGTCATAAAAGTTCAAAATAGCTTTGTTTTTCTCTGTGTTTTGTGATGGAGATTTGGCTACAATGCCATAGTCAAAACTAAGATACTAAACTATTAAATCTCAGAAACATTTTTTGTATTAGTGTGATTCTTACAGGTAGATGCAGTGCCTGTGTCACACAGCAGCACCAATGCTCCAAGACATTTCAGGATTTATTTTACCTCTTCATAATGCATATGCTGTAACTGACATGATGTTATGTCTTCCAGTGGTCTATGGTCCAGTGTTGAGCAGAGACCATGTGGTGTTTGGAGCTGCTTTTACCACTACTGTTGATCATCAATGGTAATAAATTCCTTTTTGATGGTAGACACAGTAGACATATTTTTCCATTGTAACTCGCACTCATCACTATGCATGCAGTGATCTTACGCCTTTGGAGAAGATTTCTGTAATTATATTTCACTGAATGTCTGTTTTTGATATTCTCTCAGATGCCAGTTGCCAGTGGAACGTTTGGGTACCTCGGGATATTTCGGCCATGACAAACTCCTGTGTGGTCATCCCGTGCACCTTCATGTATCCATCTGCTGTCAGGCCATACAGAGGCATTCACGGTATCTGGTACTTCGGTCAGCCGTACCCTCAACTCTTCCCTCCTGTTGTTTTCAAAACACGCACAGACATTGTGCACGAGAGCTACAAGGGCCGCACCAAGCTGCTGGGTGACTTGCACCAGAGGAACTGCACTCTGCTCATCAACAACATCGGCACAGAGCACTCAGGGAGATACTACTTTCGTGCTGACCTTGGTGGAGCCAACATGTATACCTTCCCAGATTACGCTGAGCTCAAAGTTTTGGGTAAGTTACTGATTAGAGTGGAATATGCTTTAAACTGAAATCAGTAAACCTGAAATATGAAATTAGCTTATCGCTAATAATAAATTAACAATTTAATGTAATAATTAACCTTTATTCACGTCAACACAAAGACTAAAAAATATTCATTAGACCAAGTAAGCAACAATCACAATGTTTTTATCCATCAACAACATCAATATTTAATGGCCAAATCTGTTAACCTGTGTATTAAAATTCAACCTTATTTTTAGAGGAATATAACAGAAGAAAGTAATAAATGTCGTGTAAACAAGAAAGTAAATTTCAATTCATATGATGTACTGTATGGCAAGCTTGCTATTTATTTTAAATAAAGACATTTTGAAGAACTTTTAATCTTGCCTTTGCCTTTACAGATACAACACAACAGATAGGAAAATGCACAATAAATAAAAATTGAATAGAAAAGTACAAACTATTAAAGAAATCAAAAGATAAGAATAGGCGTACAGGACAGATTATATACAGAAATGTAGTTTAGTTAATGTAGGCTATAAAAATAGGGCTGTGGATATACAGTACTGGTAAACATACAGTGTGAATAAGAAATAGACAGACTACTGGAAAACTCGACTGTGATAAGTGATACAGAAACAACAAACAGTGGGACATTATGTCATTGCTGTGTTATAGAGTCTGAATGCCGTTGGAATGAAGGCCCTGCAGTAGCACTCCTTCTTGCACCGTGGGTGCATCAGTCTGTTGCTGAAGGAGCTACTCAGGGACCTCACAGTCTCATGCAGGGGGTGAGAGGTGTTGTCCATGATTGACGTCAGCTTGGCTAACATCCTCCTCTCACCCACCTCTTCTATGGTGTCTAGATGGCAGTCCAGGACAGAATTAGACCTCTTAATCAGTTTATTTAGTATTTTTCTGTCCCTCTCTGTGCTTCCGGCTCCCCAACAGACTACTGCATAGAAGACGGCAGATACCACCACAGTGTCATAGAATGATATTAACAGTGTCCTGCACACATCAAAGGACGTCAGTCTCCTCAGCAGATGAAGACGACTTATTGATTGATACAGTACCTTTGCTCTAGTTGTCTGTTTAAGTTTGCTGCATCTCTGCATGAAGATAAAAATGCTGCTTTACAAATAAAAGTACTGTTATTATATTTCGTTAAAGAAAGCGAATAATTTGTTTTCCTGTCCACTAGATCAACCCAACATTGATGTCCCTGAGGAGATTGTCAGCGATGAGGATTTGGAGCTGACATGCTACGCTCCAGACAACTGCCCAGACATGACTCCAGAGATCCAGTGGATGTACACCGACTACCTGCCCGACCCCGAATTCAGCTCTGACTACCTGGAGGAGAGCAACACAGCTGTACTCTCCAGCACCCTCACCTTCACACCCAGACCCATGCACAACGGGCAGCTCTTGGGCTGCAGGGTGTACTACCCCAACACCACACTGGTCTATGAGAGGGTCATCTCTCTAGATGTCAAGTGTAAGTTAAAAACGCACACCCCTGTAAGGACAAAAATATATCTATAATCTCAAAGGGGCTGTTGTGTCTGACATGCGATCAGGTCTCAACAGCAATTATGAATTCCTATTAAGCAAATTTCTGTCTTGAGTGGCCTCCAGGCAATGACTCAGAGGTGGCCCAAACATATCCACTTTAGAGTTTGTGTCATGCACAGAAACACAAAAAAAGTCTTCAGTGTTTCCAAATTTAAGTTTTAACAATCGTGGAGCTAACACTAAAGCTAGCTTTCAGCTGACAGCCATTCCTCCACATCCAGCAAAACACAAAAAGACCAGACAAAAACATGGCAGTCAACAATGAATTTAGCCTTGCTAATGGCTCTGTAAGGCAGTAAACTAAACGCTAAAATCAGCATGCATGGTGCACGATAACCTTGCAATGTTTTAGAATGCTAACAATCATAAATTGGCTGATTGGAATATCATCAGTATTGTAGGTATTTGATCAAAGTATTTTTTAAGATACCGTCATTGTAGACAGATAAGTCTAGGGACATTATATTCTCCTTCTTACTTTCCCTCCCAGACGCTCCACGCTCTGTGTGGGTGAACGTGTCCTCAGAGGTGATGGAGGGCAGCTCTGTGGTTCTGCACTGCGAGGTGGACAGTAACCCTCCTCCCAGAATCTCCTGGATGTTCGGAGACCAGGAGCTTCTATGGGACACGGCGTCCAATGTCACCCTCTCCCTGGACGATGTGACGCCTGTACAGGAGGGAGTCTACACCTGCATTGGGGACAATGGCTATGGCCTCATGAACACTTCATTGTACCTGGCTGTCAAGTGTAAGTCTCTGAGATACATATTGTACATACTGTATTTAGTTAGTTATAGGGAATTGGGACACAGCAAGCTACATTGGGTTAGCATTTGGTAGTTTTAAATACTTGCCCATGTTGAACTTGCAATGTGGCTCCTAAAGTTTATAGCTTGCGTCTGGTCAAAACATGGCAGCTGATTCACAACAGGTACAATGGATTACAACATGGAACACACATAAAGCCCTCAAAACACTATTCTGGGGACAATACAGTAAAGAAGTGCAATATTGCGGAAAAAACAGATCTGTGGCCTAAATCCATACAACATACTAATCATAAATATCATCAAATATAATCAATGTTATTTTTTTTTTGTACAAACACCAAGTGACACACGACACAACAAGACTGTGAACTTAGAATGCCACTGCCTTTTAAACTTCACAACAAATAAAATATTTATGAAGATGTAATGTTTTCTGATATCTCCCTGAAGCTGTATAACCTTAATCCACTTTTTTTTGTTGCAGCTGTTATTTTTGTATTTCTTTGTGAGACAATAGTGTTGATCAATACCACATTAGAAAATTAAGTGGATTTAGTATAGGCCTTCATGCTGACATCTTTATTATTTATGTATACTTTTATTTTTTCCTGAGTGAACGCACCACATAATCAAAATCTGCTGCTGATCATTTATATGTAGTATAACTGGGATACAAACCATGAGTGCTTGACCTTCCTCTTGAACGGTTCAAAATATGAGCGGGTTGTAGGAGTTGTGTGTTTTGAGAGCCAGAAACCTCTGCCCAAAGTAATCATTGAACATTTGCATTTATTAAATTTTATTAAGACAGAGAATCTCATTCTGATTTTCAACTCCCCTCGGATTTATGGAGCTTTATAAGGAGTTTCAGCTCATTGTTTGGCTATTCGGCTCTCAACTGTTTTGATTCACTCTCACCGGTCTCATAGCTGGTAGTTTTGAGCAAAATGGCGTCGAAAAGCCCACTGTACACTACCTACTCAGCTCCAAACAGCAGACAGATACGGTTAGAGACTAGCTGGTGAACACAGTTGAGCATTCAGCAGCCAGTTATTTCTATCAGGAGATCGAAAAAGGGGTTAAAATAGAGAATATTGGACTTACATTTGCCAGATGGCTAGAAACATGACTCCAAATGAATGATAATGTTTCTTTGTAACTGCTGGTGATGACATGTCAGTGTTCACAGCTTGTTTCCGCTGCCCCCAAGAGGCCAAAAATATCTGGTCTTACAGAATTCACTAAATGTCCCTTTAAATTAAGTTAAATTAACACTTACTGAGTGAATTATGAAAAACATTTCAAAATCTGAATAAGAAAAACAACTCTACATTGTTGCAGACCCTCCCCGTGAGCCCGTGGTAAACGACTCTGTGACGGTACAGGAGGGAACCTCGCTGGCCCTGCACTGTAGTACCCAGGGCAGCCCAGCCCCAACCCTCACCTGGCTGAAGGACGGGGAGCTGGTGGGCACCATCACTGCCGACGAGCTGTCAGTGCTGGAGATCTTAGAGATCACTCCACAGGGAGACGGACAGTACCGCTGCCTGGCCGAGAATGAGCACGGAAGAGCCAGCAGCTCCCTCAACATCACTGTTGAGTGTGAGTGCTTCAATGTGCTGCATTTCACCCAACAGTAGTGTAAAAAAGTAGGACATGACCAATGACCTGAACCAGCACCTCTAAAGATGCTGTTACAACTTTGTGAACTACAATATTCTCATTCTAATAGTCATTGAGTAAATAAGCTTCTTTACCAATTCTTCACAAACACTTGTCCACAAAAATATACATGAGAAAAAACTATGTTTCATATTCACATGTATTTATATTCAGCATTGTAGCTCTTTACTTTGCTGCCTCGTTCAATAGATGCCCCAGTCCTTCTGGAGGAGTCAAAGTGCACGGTGGTGAGGGAGGGTGTCCAGTGTGTCTGCATGGCCACAGGAAACCCTGAACCCACCATCGAGTTCTACCTGCCCGACCTGAACGTCACCATCAACGAAACAGACGGCCGGTTCAACTTCTACACGCACACAGACGGACACACCTCCACGGGTATGATCAAGCTGCGGGAGAAAGGCGAGCGGGTCGACAATGGCCCTGCTGTCAACGTCCACTGCAGCATCTACAATATGTACGGAAGAGAAAGTGTACACCTGGAGCTACAGCAGGAGAGTGAGTAGAGACTTACTGATTCTTGTAGTGAAGTTTGATTAAAAAAAACCTTAAGGCCGTTTTCGCACAACATTAGTATTACTAGGAGACATCATGTGATTTATGAATTACCCCCCATGTCTGTGTAATATAAGCAAAGTCTGTATTTCACTTGAATTTACTGACATTATCCCCCAGATATTATGTTAAGGCTGGCAAATACTGTCACCGAGCACAACTTTAGTACTAGAAAACAGACGGCTGTCTTGCTTGTGCACTATTTTGGAGAAATATTGATTAGAAAGCATTTGATCGCTACCTATAGGCCTAATGTTACTGTTAGTAGGCTACCACATAATAACAGTTGAGCCTGTTAAAAGATAGAAAAATGTTCCTTGTATGTCATCCATCTCATCATCTTTTGAGATTTTGCGCTTCTAATGGTTTTGAGTTTGCGTTTTCTGCGAATGGGTCTCCCTGCTGTGTAGCAAGATGAGCCTCCTGAATTTGCATCCGAAATACTGTCAATGCTTAAATTTTTAATTTCCAAAGCAGACTCCACTGGGAAAGGTAGGTAATTTGAGGTGGAATTTTTATAAATTACAGACATGGCAGATTTGGCACGTAACCATGTAAAAGGATTTTAAATGTAAATTTGCACGGGGTTAACATCGCAGACAGCCTCCACGATTAATACAAATTACTAGAGGTCCCCAGGTTGTACTAGTTCTGTGAAAATAGGGCTTATGTTGAACATTTTTCTTCAACAAATCCCACAAAAAGTAACAATAAATTGACACTACTTAGTGATAGTTGATATTGCTGGTGTTGTCTGTGTAACCAGAGCTTGATATATCATATTCCTTTGTGCTATAGACCACCATTGTCATTCAAAAACTATTAAAAGCACAGTGAGCCACATTGTTGCACTAGGTGACGTAGGTGGGGATGTTCCTTCATTACCATGAATGTGGGCACTGTAGTTTTGTAGTTGGTCCCATATATGCTGTACTGCTGATCAGCAGCAGAAATCATCCACATGAAATTTCCTCTTGTTTGAGTAATGTTTGCTAAAAACTATAGTGCCCAACTGTTGCCTAATGCCTTTAATTCTCTCATTTTCATAGAAGTACATGATGGACATTATAAACGGTTGTCCTGCTCTTGTCCCTCCTATGTATACTCGTTATTGGCCGAGAAAACTGCAGCTTTCCCTAAACTGATGCAATCACAATGGTTTTTTTTAAGTGAACATCCCTTTTTTGTAGACTACATAATGGAAGCCTAAGATGGTGTGTTCCTCTTCGTATGCTCTTATTGATGTCATGTTTTTTCTATGTGTTGTTCAATATGTTCATCAATAATTAAGTTTTATGCCCTCATTTTTGTTTCCAGAAAAGTACATGATGGCAGTTATAGTTGGCACCATTGGAGGAGTGGCGGTCATAGCTTTCATTATTGCAGCAGTGAGATATGTTGGCCACAATAACAAGAAGTGAGTATAAATGACAAACTAATAGAAAGGGCGGTGCGAGACAGAAGTAGTCATTTTCCTGACTAAGCATTTTCTGAAATCCAAGGAAACACTTAAGCCTAGTCATCCATTCTAAAACACATTGATGCACATTGTACGTGAGTGAATGTGGGATTGATGTGGACGTGAGAATCATTTCTCCAGAGCAATTTCAGTTTATTTGCTACGACAAGACCCTGTTGAAATCGTTGGAGATCCACATTGGCTGCCTTGTGGAGTGGGTTAGTAAGCTGGACTAACCATATATTTTGCAGGCACAATTCCCTGCTCTGACACTGCTTCTGTATCCTTGACCTGCTATGCTAAATGCAACCCAGGTAGTCTTCTTAACCAATGTGCTTTACTTTAGCCTCAAGGCATATTTGGACCCCCAAATTTGCAAGCTTTCTCTGGCAAATCACCCCTGAAGTGGGTGTGAGCTCAGCCACTAAACCCATAATTTAACCCCGTCACTCGCAGCCATAGTTGCCCTCCAGCATAACCTTACAGAGCTTGTTGTTTTAAAATGGATGCCCAGGCTTGGCGTGTCGCCCTGCGTTAGAGGCAGTCGAGACCGAGTCTGATTATGTGACTCCGTCCCCCAGAGAGAATGGCAACCCTAGGCAGGACGTGGTCCTGGAGAACCCAGCTTTGTACTACAGCGCAGTCAAGAAGGACAAACAAAATCTGAGGAAGAAAGTGGTGAGACATGCTGATGTCAATGATTATGATTATGATGGATGGGTTAGATGACCATTCTCAGATTGTTTGGGGTTATAGTTTTGTGTATTGCAACAAGTTGTAAATTATGAGACCCCATTTTGGCCTCTGAAAATAGAAGGAATCTCTCCCACGAGCAGTCCAGTAGCTCCAACCATGACCTTCCAAACACTGTTTTCTCTTGCTTTCATCGCTTCTCTGCGTTTTTCTGTCTGTTTTTCTCTCCCCTAACTCTTGCACAGCTTAAGACAGAGCTGTTGGGCTCAAAGTTTAACTCCATTCTAGAGGAGACTACGGTAAGGTTCCTAAAAAAATCCCCATTAAAAACACAAGCCTCAGTGACAGATACATCTCCTCGCATATCAGCTTCTGTGTTCTGTACACTGCCGTTTGTTTCCGAAACTGCCTTCTGCATGGCTGCGTCATTGCTAACACAAATTGCCAAACTAACAGGAAACATCTCCTTGTCAGTTGTCGACCAGTAACGACTAACATCTTTTCTTTATGGTGTCTGTCGGGCTCGTCTGTCATCTGAGGTGTCGCCGGCACCTTGCCAGTGATTTGTGCCGCTGATCGGTTCTTCTGTCTGCAGGGAGAAGACGGGGATTATCAACCTGTGGGCTCTATGGCAGGACTGGAGAGGCAAGAGTTGAATTACGCTGCTCTGGAGTTTATCGGGACCAGGTCCAGGGAGGGGGCCTCAGGGAGGGGGGATGATGGCAGCAACTACACGGAAATCAAAGCCAAATGAATCGCAATCCTTCCCTGATCCCTCGGCTATGCGAGACGCAGTGGCAGCCCCAACACATTTTCTGCCCCATAAACTGTCTAATTACTCTACTGGATTTCACCCTGCATATGATGACTCCTTGTCTCTCACTTCAGATTTGTCATATATAATGTACCACTCGATGCCAGTACAACCCCGTCATCCTGCCCTTCCTCCATGGGACCCCCTTTCACGCACCATCATTTTGGAAAACTGGTACTTTTTTGGGTCGGAACATGACCCACTGGACAATGTAAAATAAATTATTTAAATTTCTGGCCTCAGTTGTAGTACATGGGAAACATGCAGTGTTAACCACCAACGATCTTTTTGTTGCTTTCTCTATGTTCTTCCATGTTATTCTTGATGTTATTGTCAAACGACATACATCTGAGTGCTTGCATATGTCTCACTATTTGCTCTACATTTGCCTCTTTTAACTGTCACTGTGTCTGCTGCCAGCCGAAGCATCAGGGTAAGGAGTAACTGCGCTTTTTGTTCTCCTATATTTATGTGTCTATCAGCTGAGAGAAAAAACTCTCCTCTCTTTCCTTTGGTTAATTACATCCCAAAAAGATAACCGACTGAGGCGAGAGACGGAAACTTATCTCAGTGTCTTGTTTCCATATAATTGTATTTAATGTGTGCTGTGACTCGGTAGCCTCTCATAAAAAGTCACCATCCCTCATGAAATAATTGAAGAGGTTTTGTAAATTTGTCCAGTTCTGAAAAATGTCACAGCTTCTTTCCAGCATTTTCCAGTTAACTGTAGAATGTGTTTTTTGGGGGGAATTTCCTGCACTGTGGCCAATGCAAAATGTCTGTCTCATCTTCTACTTCTTGTTCCTAAAACATGGGTTCTAGCTCTCTGATTGATCTGGAAAAAGGAGACCTTAAGCACAACAGTGTTATCTCTCTAGACAATGTGTGTGTGAGTGTATGTGTGTGTTCAAATCGTGCTGAAAGATCATAGGACACTGATCACTGATCAGTGGGGGGTCTTTGGGAAGTCTGACCATCACTTCACTTGAGAAGTTGATGCTTTATTCTCACAGGGTTGCATCAGATGTTTGAATGACAGAAAGTGATGCTGAATAGCCAGTTGGTTGTGCTATTCAAAGACAGTTGATGAACCTGTGATGTAATATTAAAGCGCACTAATAGTCTAACTTGATAATGATTGTGTCAATATATATTAATAAGATGTATATTGATAGGGGAAGGGATGTCAGTATGTATAGTAAATACCCTGCATGACTGTTTTATCAGCAGGCACACATTTAAGTATTAAATTATGGATAAAAGCCAGTTTGAGAAGTTAAACAGTCTTGTCACACATCATCCATCAACACTTTTGACTGAACACTGTCTTAATATGAGTTAAGTAAATAGTACCGTCCTCTAACTAGTGTGCACTATAGCCAAAGTCAAATCAGAGGTTACGTTTACATGCAGGGAGTAACCTTATTATTGACTCTGATTGTAGTTGATTTAAAGTATAATACATCCTGTGTTAATCTGTCTTTTATATTAACCATTAATAGGGAACTCCAGCAATATAGTATTGCATGCCCATTAAACTGGGTGACTTACAAGAGACATCATTTAAAAATGAGTGGTCAAATTCAAAGCAGCACACACAGAGATGTCCTGACTTTCAGTAGTATGGGTCAAGTTCCAAACCCACTGTATCCTACAATACCCACAATGCGAGCAATATCATATTTTTGTTAGACCCTGGTAAAAGTCCATGTCAACTTCATGCTCCAGATTTAATTTGTTGCCAATAATAATGAAATTGCAGTCTCCACACTCAGGCAGAGATAACCCTGATGATATCATCAAGGGTTATTTTCTCAGACTTTGCAAACTTCTTCAGAGCCACGCTTTAGGAGAACATTAACTGTTTTAACAGGCTGAGGTGTACTGCCCATCACAAATACCTAACCTTTATGTCAGTAATTCAGAGTTCCCCTTTAATGTTTACAAAGACTCAACGCACCAATGAAGTCACTACTATGCTTTTTCCACTTCACTATTTTCACTTTGCATCATATCTTGCAGGTCATTCGCCTCGGTTTCTCTCAAAAGTGCTTAAAAATAACTCATAGACACACTGCAGCCGTAACTGACTGACATGGTCTGTCATTTTAAATAAGACAACCGGTTGTGTGATTGGTATTTTAAATCTGTCTACTTTCATTCAATTACATAGGCTATGTAGTGAAAATGCAAATATGATATTTACTATGTATTGTATGTGCGACTGTTTTAACAATGTCATGTCATGATAAATGATTTTGTTGTCTAAATGAATCATGCAAAACAATTACCTACTCCATTTTCTCTGCAAGAAGTGATTTCTAAAATACTGTGTGTTGAACATCAAATATGCAACTTAACATTGTTACATTGTGCTGATGTACAGATGTTGATTCAAGGCTCAAGTAGAAAGTAAAATTCTAGCTAGAGATACGCTGTAGCGGTATTTTGGCAGTCTCATTTAAAATGATGGATAAAGTTCATCAAGGCAGTGGTGTGTCCCCTGTGAGCTGTTTCTAATTGGTTTTACAATCAGTAGAAGTACAAAATACAGCAAAGGCCTCTGATTGATAACTGCTAACTCCATATGTAGGAAGACAGGCAGAAATGGCAATATGAAAACAAGAAAATTACACTATGAGGAGTACTTCAGTTTAAGATGTTCACATGAATCCAAATAAATCTCTCTCTGCCAAACCCCCGCCAAACCCCCAGATTGAATAAAGCATGTTAATGAAGCCTCAAGTTATCTCTGATACAGAGCTAAGAAAGATGATGAGGTGTGTAGGTTCATTTTTCTGATAACGAAAAATACCCATAATGCTGTGCAGGTCTGAGTGTGTAAACTACATATGAAAAAAGCGAGATCTTGCTCACCAGATGATCACCAGTGTTTGTGGTAATGTATACCAAAGTATGCATTGTTATGTTTACTTTACCTGCCGCCAAGTGACTCACTGTCACTATTTTAGTAGTTACATAACAGTTATTATTGGAACAGATGAGTTGCTGCATGTTCTTCATTGTTAAACTTCACATCATGTTTGAAGTATTAAAATTAAACATGTAGAGTGCAGACAAATAAGCCAACTGTATTAAATTTGAGTGAATGGTCAGAATTCCATTTTGATTAAAAAACAAAACAAAACCTAAGCAGGTCTAAAAAGTGATTTGGTACGTAAGACAAAAAGCTAGGTATGGGAGGTGAACATTATTTACACACCATCCAAAACAGGACAAAAATGCAGTTTTCTGAACACGCAACGAAAAGCTAGTGTCAACCAGCTATTTATTCTCACATTAGCCTTTTATTAAGACATTTTTCTGTTGAGTTTATGTTGGATATGCTGTCAAGCATTCTCAAATTGCCTGTATGCACAAAGTCAATAACTAGTTCTTTGAATGACTCAAGGGGTTATTTTTTATTTAATTGTTTTGAAAAAGCAGAAATATCAAATATGTCTAACCTAATCTTTGTCACAGTGCGTTGTAAAGCAAATGTGTAGTATGTCCTATACTTTGTCGAGATTTTTTTTCTACATGTATGATTGACACAGTAATTCAGATCAGGGTTTTTGCAATCTCTCTGAAAATTAGCACTGTTAGTTAATAACAGTAGGATTTCTGCAATGATGTCCTTTGCTTGCTCTTTTACTTTAAACAAGTCTTTCATGCCACAAGCAAATTCATCTGTCTTCAGTCCCACGCAAACATAAAAAAATCAACACAAAATGGAAACAGTTGATGATTGATATAAAACTGTGAACCATCTGTTTCTCATGCTGTCTCCTTTCTTTGTTTTTGAAAAGCAACATTACTATGATGAAACTTTGACGTGCTCATTTTACTTCTTGGTTAAACTTATTTGGTTAAACTGTACGTCCTCCTGAAGTGCAGTTTTACATGGTCCAACTAAAACATCAACCCTCACAAATTAGGCTTTGCTAAGTTTCATCTGGATTTATTGATGTTACATAGTTTATGGAGATTGGACATTTTATGGAGTGAAATAATTAATTGTTGTTTTTTGGTGAATAAAGGTAAGGATTAGAGGCTGACAAAAGAGTGGATTTTCACTCCTGTTCCATCCCATTCCCACAAAAATACTTCTGTCCGGTCCCAATCCCAGAAGAGTGACTCTCATCCAATCAAGTTCCCAATAATTTTTTTTTTTTTTAAATCAGAAAATAGCATTTATCTATATTTTACTACATATTTATCTTTAAAAAAAATTATTTATGATTCCCGTCATGCCTGCTTTACTTTTTTCCTGTCCTATTAGCTAATGTCAGCTATAAACAAGCTCATTACAATAACACCACGTCTCAAATGATCACCTTAGTATGTTGGTTTGGGACAGCTGTTAAAATTATTCTAAAGTCAAACTCTCACTTATTTGCATTGTTTGATAGTAGCACTTCGTGTGCTAGCTACTATTTTTGGAACGTTACATTTGTTATAATGGAAAAGCCAATACATAAACCTGCAGTGCGGAAGTTTTGTCTCCTCCTTCTGACAGTGAGAGTAATAACCATCGACAAGTGCTTGTGACATATAGGCTCTGCCATACTGAGTTGCTGCTGTCGCTCCCCCTTCTGCTCTGGCAAATCAATCATTGCTGGTTGGCATAAAAAACATCATTACCTGTGTGCCAGCATCGGCACAGTCACCAGATTTAAAAACAGTGGTATACATACCTGGTGGTGACAGGCTTAATTAGCATTGTGTGAAATCCTTTGACAAGAGCTTCGATGTAACAGATGTTCATTTAGGCCTATATGTAAAAGTCTCGCTCTCTAGCTTTAAGCAAGCTAACTAAGCAAACCGCCTGCACCTATCTGTCCAACAGCAAACAGGCTGTTAGGGAGGCTAGTTGTGTGAACCCCACTGCAAAACACAGAAACTGTGACGAGGGAGAGGTGCACAAAGAATTTATTGCTAGAGTCTTTGTGCCAGGGAAAACTGAGGCAAAGACTTGAACCAAAGTGCTGAATTGGGAAGATTTGGACTGATCCAGCGCAGATTCTGGGTGAGCAGGAATAGGGTAAAAACAGGAATCAGACCGGGACCAATGTGAAGCAGAATCTATGATCTTGCAGCGTGGTAGAATTAGAGCCCTGTCCATAAAAAGCAGAGGAAACACCTGCGCACCTAAACCCTCTCCTGCAATAAAGCACAACACAAACATTCAGACAGGAATTCCGCATTGCTCTTTATTCCCATCCTCTCTTTCAGTGTTTACCAGAGAGCCAACCCCAGATTTACTCTCGTTTTGAAAGGAGCTTTGTCTGCTTGTTGTTTTACCCAACTATATTTGTGTTTTTTCAGCAATGTGTCTGCAATTTCCATAGCTTCCTTTTGAACTCATACAACCTGGCACCCTCAGACTTTTTGAGAAAAATCTTACTCATTCTGCTTTTAAAGATTTACACATATTCTGGCAGCATTCAAATATATCATTACTGTGTTGTTGTTGTTGTTGTTTTTATCAGCACCTACCATTAGCTGACCAGTGACTGTTGGAATTAAACCTACATCGTGCCAATTACAAGGCTGTTTTAGCCATTTGAAGTGGCTTTAGGGATGGCAAGCTATTAGATTTCTATGAAAGTTGCCATGAATAACCATGAGGTATTCATGGTGCCCAGAGAATGAACCCTATTGACTTTGGTGATCACATTTCATGATTCATTCATTACATGAAAAGTCACCATGATTGTGATGAAAGCACAAGATAAAAGCAAGAAAACATTGAAAAGACTAAAATACACATTTATGATAAATATAAAATAAGTAAAATAGGATAAAATAAAGCCAGAGCCTCGGGGCCCTGACAGCAAACGCTCTGTCCCCTTTAGTTTTCAGTTGAGACTCTGGAACAGATAGCAGACCTCTGCCCGAGGATCTCAAGGTACGTGCTGATGCGTATGGGACTAAAAGGTCAGAAATATAACAAGGCGAGAGGCCATGAAGAGTTTTAAAAGTGATCAATAAAATTTTAAAGTCAATTCTCAAACACACTGGAGCCAGTGTAATGAAGCTAAAATAGGAGTAATGTGGTCATATTTCTTTGTTCTAAAAGCCTGGCAGCTGAGTTCTGGACAATCTGGAGTCGATTAGTAAATTTCTGGGTTAAACAAGTGAAAAGGCTGTTGCAATAATCCAGGCGTGATGAGATGAAGGCGTGTAAAATGGTCTCGGTGTCCTTAAAAGTTAACATAGATTGAATTTTTGCTATATTTCTAAGTTGATAAAAACATGATTGAACAAGCTTTGTGGTGTGCTGCTCGAAATTTAAATTACTATCAAACCAAACACCAAGGTTCTTTGCAACAGGCTTAATGTGATTTACTAGGGAACCAGCAGATGGCAGTATTTGTTTTGCGATCTGCTGGGACCCGATGACCAGGATTTCTGTTTTGTCTGAGTTCAGCTGGAGAAAATTATTTGACATCCATTTTTTAACTTCACAAAGGCAGTCGGTAAGTGAACTCGGCATTCCTGGGTCTGAGGATCTGACGGGCAAGTACATTTGTGTGTCATTAGCATACATATGAAAAGAAATACCATGTTTATGGATAATATGTCCAAGGGGAAGCAGATACAAGGAAAACAAAATGGGTCCTAAGACCGACCCCTGAGGCACACCATATTTAACTGGACAGAACGAAGAGACATAGTTGTTTACAGACACGCAAAACTTCCTATTTGACAGGTAGGATGAAAACCATTCTAGGGCAGAGATCCCCACCCAGTGCCAGTCTGTCTAACATGATGTTGTGATCAATGGTGTCAAAAGCAGCACTAAGGTCCAGGACATACCTTCATCAGCAGACATTAAAAGGTCATTGGTTTACTTTAAGCTGGGCGGTCTCAGTGCTGTGATACTTCCTAAAACCAGACTGAAACTTTTCAAATATTTTGTTATTTTCCAGTACAGTAAGCAGCTGTTTGGACACAATTCTTTCTAGAATATTTGCAAAAAAAGGCAGGTTTGAAATTGGTCTAAAATTTTGTGGGAATGAGGGATCTAAACCAGGTTTCTTTAAAAGTGGGTTCACATAAGCCGTTTTAAAATAATCAGGGACACAACCAGTAGATAGGCAGCTGTTGGAAACAGAGATCAAATGGGGCCCAACAGAATCCATTACTTTCAGTAAAAACTTTGTAGGTATTATATCAAGTGGGCTGGAGGACACTCTCATTTGTGATACTGTTTTTTAAAGCTCAGACAAGTCGATGGGATAAAACTGGTTAAAACTCTCTTGTTGCTGGTGAGGGACCTCTGAGTAAGAGGCCATGGGGGTAATAGAGGCTCTGATTGACACCACCTTATTGGTAAAATAAGATAAAAACAATTCACAGTCATCATTACTTCCAGCTGAGGCACAAGGAAGGGTTGGGTTTACCAGCTGATCCACAGTCAGAAACCTGGGATTATGTTTATGCGTAGTAATGAGTTCAGAAAAATAGTGTGTTCTCGCATCCTTAACCATGTTATTGTAGTTAATTAATAAATCCTTCAGACTGAGGTAATGTACTTGGAGACTGGATTTTTTCCATCTACGCTCTGCTTTCCTGCATTCCCTTTTTAGGCTGCGAATGCGCTCATTTATCCAGGGTTGCTTACTAGCTTTAGACGTAGGCCTAACCTTTAGAGGAGCAGTAATATTTAGTGATGACAAGCAGATATGATTGAAGTGATCGACCAGATTGTTAATGTTGGAATCAGACAGGTGTTGGCTTTGGCTCTGAAAGAATGTGCAAAACTTTGAAACACTGTGTTCATTAAAGATGTGAGTACACACGGAGCTTGGTGAAGCGGCATGAGTAACAGGCGAATCACAGCTAAAAAAACTATACATCTGTGGTCAGATATGGTCATGTCCACTAATTCCACAGAGGAAATGCTGACACCCAGGGTAAAAACCAAG